AGTACTTCTCGTATATTATTCTCAAATTTTTGTGCCATTTTCTCAGTCTTCATGGTGGATTTTTCTAGGCCAGCCATTTTCTCTTCTACATCTGAGATTCTATTTTCTGAATGATGTAGTCTGCTTTTAATACTTTCAAGGGAGATTTTGACTTCCAGTATTATAGACTTCATCTCTAACAGTTCCATTTGAGTCTTTTGTAAAGTGTGTAATTTCTCTCTTAGATCTTGCGAGAATTTCCTCATCTCCCAGAACTTGTCAACTTCTTTCTCCTTTCTCTTTAGCAGATCATTGTCTCTCTTCTCTTCCATCTCTGTTAGCTTAGACATTATGAATGATCTGAATTCCTTATCAGACATTTCCATGATTTTCACCGAACTGCTTGTGGATGAAGAGGAGTTACTCTTTTCCCTTGGAGGAGAGGTATTTTCTTGTTTTCCCATATTTCTTGTTATCTGGCGGTGATTTCTTGTCATCTGATGGATGGTGTGTTTCTTTCAAATTCTTGAAGTTCAGTCTGAATGTTCAGGAGCAAGCAGACAGAGGTGATCTAGAATCCCTTTGCCGTTCTGTTGTGATCGCTGATGCAGCAGATTTGGTAGATATTGAGGAATATTTCAACCCTATTAGTATTTGGATATATAGCTACAGTGCTCTTACATCCTTCTAAAAATACATTAAATGGATATGGGAGCGTGGAGAGACAAGAAAAAGGGAAATGAAAAAGAACGAAACAACAACAAAAAGAGGAAAAAAAGACAAAAAACCCCCGAAAAAATTGTAATTACTGTTTTCCTTTTTAAAAAAACAAAAAATCACAAAATAGAAAACCGCTCAGTTGTCTTCGTAACTGAATGTGGTGTATTTTGCTTGGTTACCTTTTGTCTCCCTGCTTCCCAGATGGTAAGCTCCATGGAAGAGGAACTTCGTTTTGTTCACTGCTGTGTACCCAGCACCAAGAGCAGCCTGCAGTAGTGCCCAGTAAGTTTCTTCGATGACTGTTGCCCAAGTGCAGCCTTTTGCACACTCATCACTACCGAGTCCTGCCCATTCTCCATCCCAAACAGCTCTTTGACTCCTCTGTATTTCCTTGGTTCTAGGCATTTGCTTCCTTATTCCTTGCTTGAAATAGTGAAATATCTGCTACGAGGGCTCGGTCTTACTGAGCACTCCCCTATCCCTTGATCCTGGCAAGTAAAGCCGTGAACTGAAGGCATGCAGGTCTCAGTTGGGGCCCTGCCCAGCTCTTCAGCCTCATCTCCTCCTGCTCATCCTCTGTCTATCAGGGTCTCTGGAGCAGGCAGCAGAAGGTGCCACTGTTTCACTTGAGCAGGACTGGACACTAACAGGACATAGGGGACTTGGGAGTCAGACTAGAGGGCGGAGAACCAGAGGGATAAGAACAGGAAACATCACAGATATATCTCTGTTTGTTTTAAATGTAGAAAGGGTGGGTCCAGACTTTTCAGCGCTGTGACAGGGCCCAGACTGAGCATTGCTTTCATCTTGGCCACACACGCTAACCCCCCCACGTATGCACACGTGTGTGTGTATGTGTTCAGTGCTGGAGCAAGGAAGTAGTAGCCTCTCTGCGCCAGTCATCACCTCCGAATCCATGCTCTCTGCCCCTCTTGGTGATTCTGGACCTTGGAAACATTTTCGCCTTGCCAGCGGGTGCAAGGTTAGGCTTTGTAGGGTGCTGGAGCTGTATGTGGCAAGGCGAAGGAAGGGGGTTGCTCTGGTATGTCTGTTCTTCCTTGAACATTGCAGCTCTCAGCAGAGTGTGATCTACTCTCGGGCAAGTTCTTATGGCATCCCAGCAAGAAGCTTCTTGTAAACCAGACTCTATACC